GTTTTCCCTCCTATTTATATTCCTGTGAAACAGGAAGCCATGGCTGGATAATTTCATGTTCATAATCACCCTGGTATGCTCAAAATTGTAAATATGAATGGGAATATACTTCACAGATATTTTACTCATAAGAATTTCTAGGGGTGCCAATAATTGTGTCCAACGTGTATTTGAGAAAAACATTTATGTCATAATGATATTTCCCCCCATTTTAAATTCTTATTCTCCAATGAAAGGCTTTGATTTATGTGAATTTTTTTAAATAAAAGATCAAAATGATTAACAATGCAGATTTATTTTCACAGCCGCCTTTGATCATATTTACCAAGGGTGCCAATAATTCTGACCACGACTGTATAAACATCCTGATTTCTATAAAACAAACAGTATTTGTAAAAAAGCAATAAGCCCCGTGAAGCCGTGGTTTACAGTGAATTTATAACAGCTAAGGGGCGTTGTTAGGTACGACACGAAGCGGAGAAAACCCCCTTAGCTGTTATAAATTCACTGTAAACCATGGCTTTACGGGGCTTATTGCTTTTATAAAACGGTTATTCCATATACGTTGTTAGGTTTCACAAAATAAAACAGAGCAAATAAAGTGTAATGATATTAATAAAAACAGTATTCTTCCACCAAACAATGTAGCTCCTCAGAAACAGTTGTGGTTGCAACAAAGTGGTTGCCGAGCAACACACAGAAGTAAACAAAGGTGTGTGTTTGTAGAGTAATTTACAACAGCTTCGAACGCGGCTCAGCCAATCAGAATCAAGGACCGGAACTATCCGGTTTATAATAAAAAAATTTAAATGGTATTTGTAAAGAAAAATGTAAGTACAAATGCTACTGTTGTAATGAAAACTGTTCTGTTTCCAGTGTCCATGCCTAATATATTATGTATGCTTTAATTGTGTCACTAATATAATCTTTGGTTTTTCATCATCATATGGTGTCCTTTATGTTGAGCAGACGTGTAGCTGTGGCCGAGGGACGTTCTGCATCCACGTGCTCTTCGTCATGCTCAGAGTCTTCCAGCTGGAGCCGTCGGACCCTCTGCTGTGGAGGAAGACCCTCAAGAACTTTGAGGTGAGGGGACTGTCATACAAGCAGAGCACAACGAGCTCAGTGCCATCGCTCAAGCTCAGCGCACACTGATGGTCTGATCTCATTCAGGTGGAGAGCTTGTTTCAGAAGTACCACAATCGCCGCAGCTCGCGCATCAAAGCTCCCTCACGCAGCACCATCCAGAAGTTTGTGTCTCGCATGTCCAGCTCTCACACGACATGTACCTCCAGCGCCTCTCCATCCAGCAACGAAAGCAGGTCTGTGAAGCTCCAGAGACCCTCTTATCTGCTTGAACTGTGTGATTTCAGGCTATGCTGACTGACTCTGGATCAGATCAGTGTTTCTCAACTGGTGGGTCGCAAGGCCATTCTGAGTGGGTCGCGGAGAGTACAATTTTAATCAAATTAATTGCATGATGTTTCTATTATTTTATTAATTAGAATTAATCTAATAATTCTGAGTATGTTTCAGACGTCTTCATTATTTATCATAATTATAGGAGTAGTTGAGCAAAATAATTCAATCCGAATTCATAGTTTGTTGCTCTTATAGCAGATTCCCCTATCTGTCTGTCTGTATTCATATTACCTCACCAGCTGAATGGGCGAGCCGAGTCTGAACCCCAAACAAAGTTTGGTTATTGTACTGATGTATCTGTGTGATGCCAGTAAGTTGTCAGAACGAGTCACCTTTGAGTTCTGAAAGTTACGGTGTGTTTTTGTAGTACAGTTAATTCTTACCTCAAAAGGAAAAAACGGATTCCTCATGATGTGACCCTTTTGAAGCAAAGTGTATTTATCTGTCAAAGCCCTTGTGTCTTAGTAACTTTAACTTTACTTTACTGTACTCCTGTGAGCAGCATGAAGGATGAGGAGGAGCAGATGTGCCCTATCTGTCTGTTGGACATGCTAGATGAGGAAAGTCTGACGGTGTGTGAAGAGGGCTGCAGAAACAAGCTCCACCATCACTGCATGTCTATATGTAAGTAGTCAAGTCACCTTTATTTATATAGCGCTTTATACAATATAGATTGAGTCAGAGCAGCTTTACAGTGTTACAGTAATGTTTCAATAATGCAAACAAAATTCAATTCTGCTGTAAAGCAGCACTAAAAAGAGGACAATAGAAAACAGTCAGTTTTTCACTTAAAGTCAGTTCATCGCTGATCAAGTGATGTCATTGTGGCCAATAGTGTTTGTGAAATCAAATCAGCAATGTTGATAATATTAAGTGTCTGCCTGACAATAGCAAGAAAAATATCAGTGCTCATATCCCAGATTATCCCACCTCACCTGATTTGATATTTTGAGTAGTCACAGGAACTAGCATTGACTGTCCACATCACGGAAGGGAGGCTTTGAGAGCCTTTTTATAGGTCCAGACATTTCTACAGAGGGCTGGCAAACACAGCCCACAAAAATGATATGCAAAACACACTTTTTCAGAACCAGCGAGGCGATCCAATTCCATCCAGCGGTATAAGTAGAAAGTTATCGTCAAATAATGAAGGCTTTTGAAGATATTTTTAAGTTTCAGAAATGTTGAATGCTCATTCATTGTCTATATGACAGATCTCTTCATATGTTCTCCCCTTATGCCAGTTTAAAAACACTGAAAAACAGCGCAACATAAAGATGCATGATTATACAGACCAACAACAACAAGAACAAATGCTACAGGAATAATTCAGATGGAATACAAAAATTGGTCCTGTGTGAAAACACCCTTGAATTACCAAGTGTAGCCAATAAGATAACCGCTATTCAACAAAAGCTGTTTTCAAACCTGACTAGTTTTCCAAGTGACTTTTGCGTTGCGATTCTTGAAAGGTGTAGCATGCGGAAGATTAGTGTGCAAATGGTAGACCAGGCTAGTCAAAAACAGGAGGAGAAGTGTTGGGATAATACAGCATCAGCAATCACAGACATTCACACTCGATGGGATTAGATTTCTTAGAGGACTGTTGAAAAACTAGGTAATTTCCTCTGGAATTTTTACAAAGGCTGTGCGAGAAAATAACACAGACTTGGCAGAATCGGACAGGATTAAAATCACAAAGTACGTCTGTGAACCACGAATTTCACTAACCTCCGAGAAAACTGGTGCCACCCAGATAGAGTTTAATGCAGTAAATAGGCTAAATATCGCACAGAACTGTCATAATCCCCACAAAAGTCTGATTACATGTAATAACAGGAACATTGCTCACAGGAGACGGTTTGAAGTCGGACTAGTTGTTTGTTGAATGAGCATCCATGACCCATTTCTAGCCCTAGATCCCCTGACAGCCCTTCATGTGATGAGTTTAGTGAACATCTCTTGTGTCCCGTTTGTCTTTCAGGGGCCGAGGAGTGCCGGAGAAATCACGATCTGTTGATCTGTCCTCTGTGTAGAGCCAAGTGGAAGTCTCATGATTTTTACAGGTAAATTCAACCGTTCATATATAAATTAATTGACTTTCTGAAGCTAAAAGCTGCAGATACAGACGTTTAATGAGCGTTAGTTTCCTCAGAGTACCTCAGGAATATTTTCGTGTTTAAGGAGGCGTGTAATTGACCAGCAGACCTACATAAACCCGAGCAGGCAGGATCGGACCCAACAAGCCCAAACACAGATGGAGTCTAAGAATGCAGCGCTAACTAATGAAGCTGGCAAACCCAGTGCTGATGCTTCATTCAGGACATACGCCTTTGGGATCTGTCCTGTTTGTATTTACTCTAAGATGTAAGAGTCTGGTGTCGACTCCTCTCTGGTGGTTAGGTAAGCGAGACAGCCCGGCACCAGCCATGTTTGTGTGTCTGCCCGGGATTGACATGCTAGCGGCTAGTCAGTTTTTGGTGTTTTCCAACTTCCCGCAAACCATCCAGAGATTCACCCCACACACAAGAGACGCATGAAACCAAATCCTGATGTTTCTTCTTTAGGAAACAGCAATTATTCTAATTTCATGAAGTAAATCCCCTCCATTTGTCGTGATGCTATGCATCATGGTCTTATTGTCTCAGGTTACAAGAACACAAACCACAGGTTTGGTTTGTTGCCTTTTGTGATGTTTCTGTGAGGTATTAGAGCTCACACATGCATTGTTGTGTTGTGTTATAAGACACTATGGTGGCCATTAGTGTAACCTGTCTTCTACAGTCAGTCACCATTTCTGTGCAAAAATATGTTAGTTATGTGCCATGGAGCTGCTCACTTGTAATACTTTGACCAGTATTTCAATACCCGAGACTCTGAATTATGTTGGTGTAGCAGTTTTTTCTAAACATAAATGGTTAAAGTACTGTTACTAATACTGTATGTAGCTACTATTTATAAATTAATTAGAATAAAAGTTGTATAATGACAAAATCATTTACATTCATGCATTCAGCAGATGCTTTTATCTAAAGCGACTTACAAAAGAAGGACAAAATAATAAAAAAGTACTACAGTTTGCCAGCAGACCAACTGATGAAAGTTGGAATCAATTATATCTGCTAATAAGAAACATGACAAGCAAACGTTTCATCATGATACTTCAGCTGGCACCGTAAGATATGATTTACAACGTACACTACCATTCAGAAGTTTGGGGTTGAGATCTTGTTTTTTGTTTGTTTTTGAAATAAGTTTCTCCAAGGCTGCATTTATTTGACCCAAAATACAATAATAATAATAATAAGTTGTATTTATATAGTGCCTTTCCAGGGCTCAAGGACGCTTTACAATAGTAACAGTAATATTGTGAAATATTACAATTTAAAATAACCGTTTTCTATTTGAATATATTGTAAAATGTAATTTATTCCTGTGATTAGTGTGATTTATTCACTAATCCACTCTTCAGTGTTGCATGATCCTTCATTTGATCCTTTTTGTATAGATGTATATTTGATGATTTTTGAATAGAAAGTTCAAGAGAAAAGCATTTGTTAAATTTTTGTGAACGTTTTTTGGTAACAATGTGAAATTCTTTTACTTTTGATCAATTAAATGCATTTAATAGCTGAATTTTTTTTTTTTTTAAAGACCCCAAAATTACCCCAAATTTTTGAACAGTAGTGTACAGTGGATGTTGCCTAGACCAGTGTTTCCCAACCTTTTTTTAGTCGCGGCACCCTTTGGAAATTTTAACAAACTTGTGGCACCCTACAAAATTAATTTTGTCACAATATTTGAATTTCTAACTTCGATATGATAATTTGAAAAGTATAGATATTCGGTACAACAGGGAAGAACTGCAGAATATAATGTCATACAGATATTTTTAATATTAAAAATTGTCCATCAATGGTGGCAATCAGAAGGCTAATTTCTGATGAAGAGACCAATTTATATGACAGACTTTAATGTGGGCTCTTATTCATATGTAAACATTGTGAGATAGCTAGTTAAACAAAGTTTTGATAACAGCTGCTTCTTCTTCAACGTCTTCATCTCTTCGTACTGAGAGCTCGAGAACGGGGCAGGAGGGCGACTTCTCTCTCCCACAGTATGGAGTACAGCACATCCCACAGACATACACAGAGCTCGCCGAACCCTGGATCAAGGTGTGCTCAACATGCAAAGTATACACAAATATAAAGATGCAAGATCATGCATCTGGTCTTCAGACAAAAATGCATTGAAATGACCATTCATAAACAAAACCAAACAAGACACGCCTTTCATGTGTTCTTTAAGAATGATAAATAACACTTACCTGTGAGAGGGTGATCACCCCCTTTATGTCAGTGATTGGTTACACCCCAATAACTAGCAATAACGGCAAACGTTTCCTGGAGTTTTTAAGAGTTTCACACCGTTGTGAAAGAATTCAGATGGTAAAAATTGCTGTAGATCAGTGACATTTGTAATCTTTTGAGCATTTACTTGCTTGTATTCATTGCTTCCAAGGCTGTAACCATGACTTGAACATTAGGGAGGGGGGGCAATTTATATATATATATATATATACAGTATATATATACACATCATGTTCTGTCTGAATATTTGATTAGATGGCAGGTGTTCATTAAAATCGAAACGTCCAGGAGCACAAAAACTTGTTGTCAGCATTGCTCTGCGACTTTTATTGATAAAATAGCTTCGATACTGAATCGATACATTATATTTCTCATTAACGAGGAGGTAAAAATCGCTGTTTTTGAAGCAAATACATTTACAGCTTCATTGTTTGTACAGAGACGCACAGACTCAGGTAATTCACACACGCAACTTTAATCTCTTTCTCAAAATGGCCATATTTGAGAAAAAAAGTTGAGTAGTTTGCATCACTGAATATAGTTGTCGGTCATTTAACATTTCTATGGTAAAACAGTTGACTAATACGAAATGATTTGCAGCTTCCATCTTACCTCGCTCTCTTTCAACCTCAAACTGACGCTTTGTGCTGGAATTAGTGCTCTGCTGCTGTGAACAGTAAACCCCGCCTACTTTGATTTGATTGGCCATCTCAGTTATTTTGACATTGACGAGCGCTGTAAGACCGCTGAGACAGACCAGCTTAAAAAATTTCACTTTTAAACCTTTTAGTCAATTAAAAAACAGAGCGCTGCAGCAGATTTCAAATATTGGGGGTCTATGGTGGTTACAGCCCTGATCGCTTCACATTCTCCTGGAGAATTCACTGATTCAGAGCAGAATTCGTTTCTTCAGCAAAACCATCACACTAGATAGGACTGAAGGTCTTTGGATGTTGCTCTTTGTGACTTCCAGATAATTTTGTACCTTGAAGTCAGAGAGATTTTGTCAGGACGATCATGCCTTTGGATGATTAACAACTATTCCAAACTTTCTTCATTTGGATAAAATTGCTCTGATTGCGGTTCTTTGGAGCCAAAGAGAAATGTGTTTGTAGCCTTTTCCAGACTGATAAACTTCCATTTTTATTACAAAGGTTTCAGAAGACCTTCTTTTCCTCCCCTTGTGTCATGATGTGCTGTAGCTTAATGGGACAGTCCAGCCAAAAATAAAAAATTCTGTCTTCATTTACTCACCCTTGTGTCGTTTCACGCATGTATGCCTTTCTTTCTTCTGTGATCATAAAAGATGATATTTTGAAGAATGTGAGTAACCAAGTTCACATTGACTTCTATTGTATGCTCATAAAAAATAATGCAAGTCAGTGGGAACTGAAAGCGTTTGGTTACCAACATTCTTCAAAATATTTTTTGTGTTCCAGAGAAGAAAGTCAATTCAAATTAAAATGAAGTTGAATAAATGATGACAGAATTAAAATTTTTGACCTGTCCCTTTAAAAACAGGCAGAGCAGGGTAGATTTAAATATTGGCCATTGATGTGATAATATTAGAACAATAAAAATAATTACCCGCTATCATTATTGGCAAAATTCATTATATTTTAAGGAATCTTACATAAGCTGACATGCTTGACTCATGTTTTCCATCTAAATTCTTGTTACTGTAATGCACAAAAAAAAGTGCAGTTGTAAGTATACAATGTTAGTATTTTTCTTTTACATTAAATTTATTATGATATGTGCTTAATTGCCATGAAAATGTTGGAATACAAGAAAGCTTTCTGTTTTTTCTACTTTATTTCTTTTGTAATTACAGTTTCTTCATTTATTAACTGCGTGGTTTTGTGTGTTCATGTCACGTCTCAGGTGTTTGGTTTGGAGCTGGTAGGCTGTCTCTTTTCCCGAAACTGGAACATCAGAGAAATGGCTCTCCGGCGGCTGTCACATGACGTGAGCGGAGCTCTCCTGTTGGCCGGGGCGGGTGCGGGGGCGGGGCTTGGGACAGCAGCAGGGGGGGGGGCTGGCGACGTGGTGGTGGAGTCCTGCTGTAGCGTGCTCTCCATGGTCTGCGCTGACCCCGTCTACAAAGTCTATGTGGCAGCACTGGTGAGATGCTTCACCTCTGTATTACTGACACCACACTTACCACTGCTACAGTATAGACCAATTTGGAGTAGACGTCACAGTTATGTCACTTGCGTGTATGGCTTGAATAGACTGCTACCTTAAAACTGTCATTTTCTGCCACCAGATAGGCTCCGCCCACAAAAACCATCATCACTGTTTGCAAACACTGAAATTGGTCTATTTGACAGGGTTTCTGCACGTCTTAATTCACCCTTCTGAAAATTTATTCATTAATGAAAATTGAATTCATAAAGTCGTGATATTAAATGTTGCGTGCACTGCAAAAAATTAATAATTTCAATATTTTTGTTTTCCAGTACAAATATCTAAACATCCTTAAATCAAGATGCATTTACTTGGGATGCAAATGTAAATCGTCTTAGAAAATTTAACAAAATTAAGTTTATGCTTAAAACAAATATATTCTGCTCCCTACACATTTAACATTGAGAACTTATTGATGTATTGTGTTCCTTTTAACTTATTCCTAAAATTTTCTACACTTGCTCTTAAATAAGTCTTAAAATGATCTTCATTAAAACATGCAGAAACACTGACAGGTTTAGGCTACAGCAGCATCAAAGCACAAAAACATCACATCAATAATACTGTCAATAGTACAATAGTGCTTTGCCTGTTAGACATGACAATCAGTGTGTGAATTAATCAGGCTGCACTGGTTTCATGCTTGTCTCTTCTGGCTTGTTTCAGCATGTTTTTGTGTGAAGCAGAAGTCTTTATTATGTCCAAGTGTCGTGCACGCTGAATGGTGAAGTGCTGTCACTTGTGATCTTCCTTTACCACATGTTTCATATTCCTGACCACTGCTGTGATCATGTGAACACTTCAGTCACATGAGGTGCTTACAGCGTGATGCTTCTGTTGTGATCATATGAACAAGACAGATTTCACAACGCTGCACCAGCTATTCACCAAGAGCTCCTACAGTCATGAGGGCGACTTGAACTGAGACCATAGTATTGGGTCACAACATAGTCTCGGTGCCCTTTGCTCTTTAGCTTCACTCACACCGAAATTCTGATTTTCAGCTCCAATGTTCACAGATGTTTACATGACCTGGTCTGAAAGGGTAGTGCTCCTTAACTGAGCTGCATTCAGAGGAGTCCTGCTCTATAGAATACAGGCTAGTTTTCTGTAAAATGAGCACTTCACTAGGCCATTGGCTGGTTTCATTGTTCTCAATCAATTCAATGTCAGGGATACATCCAATTTAAGCTGGGCGATATAGATAAAATAAATCTCTGTTTTTGACATTTTGACTATATTAGATGTAACTTTAAATGTTTTTTTTTGCTTTTGTTTGTCACCCATGAAAAAGATCTGGATAGAGCAGCTATTGTTGCAAAGTACATTAAAAAAGTACAAATATTCTCATTTTAAAAAAATATATATCTAGACAAAGCGACCACTTACTGCTTTTACTCAATAAACAAAAGAAAAGGTACTTTGAAGAGTGTGTTCTTTGAAGAACAAAGCAGCAAATTAAATTACACATTACATAGTTAAAGTCTCAGGTCTTTTAGTCTGCATTTACAGTCCAAGACTTGATGCACAGATCTATTCTGACATGCAATGAGTTTCAAAAACTTTCAGGTCTCTAGAGCTCTCCCTTTATAATCACTGAAGCTGTCAGTCACTTCAGTTTAGTGCAGAAAAACTGTCAACACTGCACAGTAAATCTAATTTACATTGTGTTTACAGTTTGTTGGTTATAATGACAGGATTGGCAAGCAGGCTTGCTCCCATGCAGTGAACAAAAACACTGGCATTTTGAGCAGTATTTAGTAGATTGTAACAAACACCTCTGATTGGCCATTGCGATCAAGAGATCAACAGACTTGTCTGAGATCGACTGCAATGCTCAACGCTTCAACAGCATGTTGTAAATAAAAACCGTTGAAGCTTATCTCTGAGTGCGCACTAATACTCACAATCACTTTGACGCTGTCATACTCATGAGATGAAAATGTCTTACAGTGTTTCTAAAGCTAAACTGAACTTTAAACACTATCCACTGTTCGTTCAATACAATGACAAAAATTCCAAGAAATAAAACAGACATCAGGCCCTTGATGCTTATCACTTGTGCCAAAAAGTTAACTTCGGTTCTAGGTGATATCCGTTTATTTCTACTAGATATAAAAGCACCATTTTTTTCCTTTGGTCAGCTTTGATCTGAGGTTGTACTGAGCTCTAAAGTGCAACAAACCACGCTGGCTGGTTTTAAAGTTCACCTCGAACCAGGAAGTCTGGAAGCAGCAGGGATCCTCAGGCTGAAGCTGGAAAAGAAAGGTTTCTTTTTTTCTTTGTCTCTTAACCTATTTCTCTTCCTTTAAGAAAACAAACAAAAAAACAATAGCTCTTGCTGCTTGGACTTCTGGGATGGTGTCTTTCCCTCAGGCTCTGTGCTCCAGTGAGCTGCCTCTATGAAAACAACAAGCGTTTTGTCCTTTCGGGGCTTTCCAGCAGTTTTCCTATATTCTTCGAACACGCACCAAAAAGAGGGCCGTCTATATGAACTCAAAATACTAGGGACAAAGGCCTTCGGGATGTTCCCTTGCGTTAGACTGCTCTGCAAACACTTCAGCATTGTGAAGTGTGTTTTGTAGCGTTTGGCTGATCTGAAGTCTGCGGGTTTAAATGTCATAATGTCTCACTATTTATTCTTGACTTGGAGTTATTTTTTGCAGGCAGAAGAGCATTATTTGAGCCAGGATTTTAGCCTTTAGTGTTGTGTGAGTGTGTAGGCGGTAGAATGTGTTTGTTTTCAGGAGGGGAGTGTATGGTGGGTTAATCAGTGCTGGGCAGCGCTTCAGTGCGATGTGCTATCAGTCACCACTCCCAGCTCTCTCTGGAGTCAGGGTCAGGGTGAACTCTTACACATACATACATACATACACACTCACACTCACTCACACACACTCGCACACACTCACTCACAAAGAGGCTTATCAACTTTAAAAATGCTTATCTACCATTTCTTTTATTGCTGACGTCAAAGGCTGTTTATCTAATCAGAATCTGTCACTTTGCTAGGCAAGTTAGCCAGGTTGTGTGACTTTGAAGCCATCAAAATTCAGGAAACATTTACAAAATAAATATTCTAAAGTAAAAAAAAAAATGTTTTAGACTGTAAATGTATTTGTAAGTGTATTTGGTCATCATATGATGATGAATGTAGGGCTGCATGATTTGGGGGGGAAAATATTGTTTGCTATGCTTGTTGGTAGGGTGGCACAATTTGACCACCCTACCAACTTTAAATATTACCAACTTTAAATATTTTATTATATTTTAGTTTCAATTTTAATTCAATATGACTACAATAATTGTGTGTATATATATATATATATATATATATATATATATATATGACT